AATTCCAAACCTATTGTACCAATTCTGGTATATCTCCAAAGCTCCAGTCCTGCTTGCTGAACATCTCCAACTGGAAAGCCACCCAGAACTCTAACTCCTTTTGTCTAAAGTTACATCTATCTTCTTCTTTCCCCAAACCTGCTCCTTCTAACTTTTCTATTTCCATCCTCCAGTCTCCCAGGCTTGAAATCTGAGTCATCCTAGATTCTGTTCAATTCTAATCAACTGGTAAACTCTGTAATAACAGTGTCCATCTCCTGACCTTTCTTCATATTGCCACTATCTCTACTCAGGTTCTCATCTCTTCCATGTAATAATAAAAATGATGGATAACAGCTAACGCTACTCATTTAGGACAGTGTGCCAAGTATGGTTCTAAGCCTTTTACACTGTTCTTTTACCCTCACAATAATCCTATAGGTTGTGAACCTAGTATGTGAACTCACTGCATAATGTTTACTATTTCTAGGATCCTCTGGTCATTTCTACAATTATATTTAATGAATATTATAAAAGCATAGCTCTGATAATGTTACATCAACCTATCACCCAACATTTCCAATGGTTTACTATTATTAAGCAGAGACAGTTCAAATTTCTTAGCTTCGCAGTCAAGGCCCTCCAATATCTGACCCCAACTCACTTCTGAGACTTCTTTCTGTTGCTACTCCCTCGGGGCTTCCCAGGTGGCGCTGAGTGGTAAAGAATACGCTTGCCAATGCAGGAGACATAAGAGACATGAGTTTAATCCCTGGGTCGGGAAGATCCCCTGGAGTAGGGCACGGCAACCCACTCCAGGAGCTCGGCAGGCTACAGTCCATAGGGTCGCAAAAGAGTCGGACACGACTGAAGCAACTTGGGACCGACGGACCTATCCCTAACTCATCCTCATGTGCTCATGCCCATACCTCCAAGTCCAACACCCAGTTAAAATGCCTTCCCTCATTCCTAAACCAGAGGGTCTCCCCTCCTCTGAATTCTGTGCCTTTTGCTTGTACTTTCCATTCAGTTTCATACACTTGATATATATACATCATCTGTCTCCCCTACCTGACTGTTAGATCCTGTAGTGTTACAAAAATTACAGTATACACCAATTTTATCTGTATATATTTTTTGAAATCTCCACATAAATGAGAGACGTGCATGCAGGTGAATTAGTGAAAGAAGTATAAAGCATTCAACTTTAGTATTTTCTCACAGGGGCTTTCCCGATGGCTCAAGTGGTAAAGAATCCACCTGCAATGTGGGAGACACACGAGATGCAGATTTGATCCCTGGGTTGGGAAGATCCCCTGGGGAAGGGAATGGCAACCCACATCAGTATTCTTGCCTGACGAATTCCCTGGACAGAGGGGCCTGGCGGGCTATAGGGTCACAAAGAGCCGGACATGACTGAACTACTAACACAAATACACACAAGAACTATATAGCATAGGTAGATAAAGGAAAAACTCTTTGTGTCTGGATATTTCCAGTTAAGCAGGTTTTCTCTTTTAGTTTTCTGTATAACTGAAACTACGGAGACAGACCAAAATGATAGAACCTCCCAGAAAAAAGGATAACCAAGTGAATCAGCACTGCTGTTTGCTGTGGTTATTTTTATCTATCCTTTCTTCCTCTGAACTAAGAAACACAAGGTCACAAGCTATGTCATGCCACTTTAAAGTTGAACATTTACAAGATTGTTTTTTCCTTTGTTCTGCCTTTACACTAGAATTCATCTTCATTTCTTCTCCTTCCATTGCACTTCTCCACTGCAGAGCACAGAGCTGTGACTTGGTTCACAGTACATACTCTTACAGGAAAACTCCGGTCAGCTACCGAACAGTGGAGTCTGGCTGTTAGATGCCAAGGGGAGAGACAGGAAGATACGGGTGATAATGCAAATGGAATCTAAGTTCTAAAGAGCCAAGCCCAACAGAGGTAGCAGAGAGAACCGATTAAAAACAAAACTAAGCAGACATGAAGTAGATATCATCCAGCTGTGTCTACTATAATTTTCAGTCACAGTATACCTCAAGACTTAAATATAACATGAGTTACATTATTCAAGCTCTTGTTCTTCCAACAAACTATATCTTTTGTTCAAATATATGAAGGTAGTTAAAAGAAATCCAGCCACAAAAGGGAAAAATTAAAAATTTTCAAGTACATTATGGTCTACCAGAGAATATATAAAGTAAAAACAAAAATCAAACCTACAACTACCCAAACACACATATGCAGGTATACCATACTAATTTTGCTGTAATTTTGTAATGACTAAAGTTGGCATTGTTAAAATGTTCCTTTGGAAGTATGTACACAATGATTCCTATTCAGTCTTGGCAAATGCTTAAAAAGATCCTAGGATCTTTGTTTATTACATACTGGCTGGCTTTAAGGAACCACTTGAAGAATCAGGCCCAAACTTGTTTGGGAATTAACATGTTCTTGAGGTGTGTTAACAATAACAACAAAACTAACTGGCATGCAGGCATTGTATTTGTGTACCTTTACTTCCTTGCAATGAAAGGAATGCATAGAAGAGACCCTGCTCTCTGGGACAGTTCAACCAGGTGGGTACCATTAGCTTCCCAGCTGACTCTCAGCTTTCTGAATAAGCAACTGACTGAGGCCAGAGATCTTCAGATCCCAAAAACGACATTAAGTCTGCTGCCACAGCAGACTTTCTTAACCGACAGACTCCACATGAAGACTTCTGAACGTCTTCCATGGTCCATTTTCTCTCTGTTCCTTCTGTATTCAAACAGCAACCCTGTATAGATGTTCCCAAAAGGAAGACAAATATGAAACATAGTAAGTAAAAACAACCTAGAGGAATAAAAGAAACATTGAATGAACTGAGCTGGAGTTCAATCTCTGACCACTTACTAAAAAGCTGAAAGACTGAGACAACTAACCTCCCTGGGCCTCAACTTTCCCACAAGAAGGGAATCAGGCTAGATCCCTAAATAATTTTCACTGGGCTAACTTAAGAGTATACACACTCTGTATGCATATTCATTGGGAATAGGGACAGGCAAAAATAACATCTTTCATGAAGAAGACCATGTATAAGTGATTAGCTCTAAAAGTGCCTTTTGGGTTACTGAAGCCTCCACGAAAGTACACTGCTTCTTTAAAAGGAGATCCCGGTCTTCTTTTATGAACAAAAAGTTCCCAGTGAGCATGATTGCTATCTTCAAACATACACATCCCTGAAACTAGAATTTTATTTGTAGGGTCAATGCCAATTTTGCCAAACCTTATTTCATAAAAATGAGTCTTTCGGTGCACAGAAAGGAGGCAGACATCAATGCTGACTGACCATGCCTGAGAGGAAGTGACTTAACCCGACCGGAAATCAAATAGATTATAAACCATCCACCACCACCACCCCCCCGGGGGCGGGGGTGGGGGGGGGGTGTGCTAAAAATAGATGACACCAGGCATGTAAAATGGGTGAGAAAGAAAACCCCATGAGTTCCCATCATTTACCTTGGAAATGTATCTTACAATAGGTATTAACTGTGAGAAATTTATGCCCGCATTTATATTTTGATGAGACCAAGTATATTTTTTTAAGTCTTCATCCGAACATTCACTAGCTTACAAGTTTGAAAACTGACATAAAAGAGATCATATGACCACTAAGCAAATGAAAAGTGGCTCCCGTTTACTTTATAAATATTTGGTGCACAAACTAAAAGTGTAACCCCTTCCTGTTAAACATCTGCAACTATTACAACTTACCTGCATTATACTGCAAATCTTAGTATACAATCAGAACAGGTTCCCAGTGTTTATTCTGAGAGATCCCTAAATCTAACAAGGGTTTTAAAAAATCAGCATTCTCATTTCATCTTGCTCTAAGAGATCCTTGATTTTTGACAAAAGAGTTAAAATTCTTCCACAGGAATCTTGGTAAAGGAATGTTTGATGGTCTCAATGTCTGTATTACATGGGGTCCTATAAGCATAAACAGGAATATGCAGATGAAGGCATTTGAAGCCAGTTTACAAAGAGATGTGTCAGGTTTAAACAAACTGTTTTGTAAACATATTAAAATAATAGCATTTTCTTTGATGCCACATCTATCTCCATAAGCATTTAACCCATAGTTTGGATTAGTAACAACTAACGTTTATGCAGCACTTCACAGTTTACACAGCACTCTGACATACATGATCTTATTTGAGACTCACCACTAAATAGGAAGGCGCTATTTTTAGGTCCCATTTTTACATGTGAGGAAGCTGACACTAAATGGCTGACTTGCCCAAGCTCACAAAGCTGGTGGTAGCAGAACACACCATCTCCTGCTTGTGCTACTGCACCATGCTGCCTCAAATACTGTAATCAGAGTTAATAAATATCCAAACCTCAGACCCCATTTAAACCTCTCCTCTACACATGCACCCACCTCTCAACCTAAGTTATAGTTAGCTCTAGGTCTCTGTGCCTTATGGAAGTAGAGTTTTCTTCATTTCTCTGGGAAACATTTATCTGGCTAAAGTGTTAAATGAGATCATATTAACACCATTCAACATATACTGGAAAATATCTTAGTCACCAGGGGCTCTGCATAGGCATGTCTATGTGCACTTTCTCAGGCAGTAGGTCAGATTCTCAGGGACCATGACCCTAAAAAGGTTAAGGACCCAGGCTAGAGGTAGAATCTTTCCAAGAAGCTAAATCCACAAAGTTCTTAAGTTAAAAAAGGGTTTTACCTAGGCCTCACACTGTGAGCCACTTACCTTCTGCCTCCCCAGCTCCAGGCCTTCTCCCAGGACCAGTAGGGTCATTCAGTATCTACAACTGTTTTTTAAATCCATATTATAAACTGGAGTAACTGGTAACATATAAATCAATGACTTGTAAAAAAAACAAATTTAAACTAAAATAACAATCTGTTAAAACATAATTTTTAACACGTACTCCTTTCTCTTAGGACTTAACTTCTCAGAATGACCATTTGCCTTTTTTTTTTCCATAAAGAAGGACTGTTTTCTTACCATAAGAATTCCAATTTCCCAAAAGAAGTTTCACAAACATAACTACTTTGAACTCCTGAAATACCATTCTTCACTAAGAATCCTCTAGATTACATAGAAGACAAGGTAGCATGCAAGGAATTCTGAATGTTAGGCAGTCCACTCAACCATCATACCAGAAGGATTTAAAATTTTTTTGCTGGGGGGAGGGAACGAAGAAGAGTGCAAGAGAAAAATGAACGCAGCCTCACTGCTGTATTGCTTGAAAACTCCTAATCGGAATCTATAACATAACCCTACTAACCACTGGACTTGAACATCAGAAGTACAGCTTCTTTTCATCTTAAATAGAAGCTTTTTGGTACAAAATCTGCATAAACAAACTTTGTCCTTCAATCTTTCAACTCCTCGGCAGTTTTTCAAGGTCACTTTTCCGAGCAACGACAGAGGCCTGTATCTAGCAACTTTGACTGCTATACCACTCCAATTCCAAGAGCCCAAAACCTAAACCCCCATCAATTCTCTCAGGTAAATCCTTTACTCAAGGGGAAGGCAAACTAGCAGCCTCCAAACTTCTCTAATAGGGTCTGCTCCTCTTCCCTACCCAGAGGCTAAGTGCTGCCGGTTCACTGCTCCATACTAAGTCTGCTGCAGAAATGTTCCAATGACCTTCATTCCATATTTGCAAATAAAGAAAACAAAGAATTGCTTTTTGGAATCAAGTGTCTTACAGATCTTAGTACATGAGATGGAAGATTTCACTAGTCACAAGAACAGGCTGGTTACCGATTAGCCAGCAACCTACATTAGTTTCATATTCCTGAAGGGGTTGGGGGGAGCGGGAACCAAGGGCAAAAGACAGGGTGACTATACTCTTAACTTTCCTATTCACAAACTGTAGGTAAAATTAGTATTTTAAAGATTTCATATAGAAAATGAAAAGCATTCTGCTCACATCATTTTAAGGAACCAAATCAACACCTAACAAAATGTGTGAAACTGGTGGAAAAAGATTTGTTCTTGTCACTGCCAACATAGTGGAGTTGTTTCTAACCGGCATTCTAAGCTAAAATGTGCATGTTAAAACAAAAGCTGTTCATTAACTGGTACTTATTAGAACGCAGAAGCAGACAGGTAAATCAAGAAAGTTATGGGAGAATTTCACATTGGCATGTGGGCCTTTACCATTAGAACCTACATCCCAGTGCAAATCATATTTTCACACAAATTTAGAACAGCAATGGTGCTACTTCCACCTCTGAAAACACAAATGTCAACAAAGTGCAAGGAAACAGAAAAAGTCTCACAACAACTCAGCTTATTCTATAGGAAAGGTTCAGTGCACTTGAACAAAGGAAAATTATTTGGAAAACAGTTAAGTTTACCGAAAGCAAAGAGAAAGTGCTTTGCTTCTGTGCAGCCCTGAAAAATGAAGCCTTCCTCCATGTACCTGCTCCGGTCAGTCCTCAGCTAGGAAGAGAAACCCGAGTCGAGGGGCATGCAAAATCTAAACAGGGCAAGGCATTCTAGGTGCGCCAAAAGGCATGCAAGGAATGTAAAGTGGCCATTTTCTGAGACAGTGCAACTTGTCCACTCTCTCCGAAGCGAAACAGTTTCTACGATTTCAACACAAAACAAAGAATTAAACTTACCGGGAACTGCATTAATTTTACATGTAGTTATTTATATCTCCTCGGACAGGGAGAATTTAAGTCACTCCTATCCCTCCCCCCCAGAAGGACGGAGGAAACAAAAGGCAGCAGGAGATGCAGAAACCTGAGTCTGGAATGTCCACTCCAGTGAAAGCCCGAACAGCTGTGCCCCCACCCCCCCAGCAAACTATTCGCCATTTTTCTTTGTCTTTCAGCTGACCCCTGCCTCAGTGAAAAACTCCGAAGCTCCAATGAAGCCTTGCAGCCTCCTTCCACTTTAACAGTCAAAGGCATTCAATCTAGCATGCTATTTGACACCAAACCTTGCCTCCAGAGTGGTCCCATTGGTTGAGCTGCTTTATCAGCTAAGAACACAAAGCCATGATTGGCTGCTCACGTCATCAGTTACCTCCTTTGCACACTTCCTGTTTTAAAGTTACCTTGAGAAGCAGAACAGGGGTCAGATCCAGACTTCAAACTACAAGGAACTTAAGGCTTCAAAATGCCTGGCAAATGCACACAGCAGATGCACTAGGGCCACATGTGCTTCCAAAACAGAAGATTCTGAAATTTTAGAAGTGTTCTTAAAATCACCCGAAAGGGTTGTTACAGTTCCCACCCAAAGGATTTCTTATTGGCTGTCAGAGTTCTATTTAAAAAAAAAAAATGTAAGGTAATTTAGCTGCGTCTGATTGGCTATCAAAGATGTCTGTAAGATACTGCTACAGGATCCTATGGCAGTAAACCAGAAAAGCAATGTGCACAAGGTTGGAAAGTTGTGGCTTAACTATCTTCAGCTCTCTGTTGAGCATTAACAGAAGAAGAAAAAGAAAACTGGGTGGGCTAAATCCAATGGCTCCAAAGAAAATACAGCTTCTTTAAAGTAACAAAGAGTGATACCAATAGTCATAGAACAGTCTGCAAGATTTCCAAAAAGGCATCTGTCATTATGTCCATGGTAATTTCAAAAGCACACATTAGTACAAATCACTTTAGTGATTTAGTACATTAGGACAAATCACTTTATTTTGAAATACAAATGAATCTAAATAGAAAAATTCTGTGATAATGTGTGAAGTTAGTGACAGGGACAATGGTATTTTCAGAAAGTCCACCAGGAACCCAAGAGGAAAATATAATGACAAAGGGGGAGAAAACTGGCAAAGAGTGAACATTAGTGAATATGCTGTTTAAAACAATATAGTTTGATGGGTTAACTAATTTATTTAGGGTGGTTACAAAATATTGCTGATAAGCTTTCAATATAACAGAGTTTTTATATCAAGAGGATAAACTTTTCTATTTTTAAGAATAAGCAGCAGGGCTGATGAATTTTAAGTATAGTGGTTACTGAAGACATTCTGGGTACTAAAGTTTACCAGTAGTGGTCAAGGACTTGTTTTGGATTACGCGCCCAACTATTTATGTTTTAAGAGAAGCCTCCAAATATGGTGAAAATCAGTTACCATTTTTTTCAAGTATTCAAATAGAAACATCTCACTATTACCTGAGTCCTTTAACAATCTCCTTAGATCTGCTTCCTCTCATAAAAACAAAATATCTCAGGACTAAACAACACAACTGTTTTGCCAGACAGATGAGATCCTTTCTAGAAATTCCTCAGTTTTACATAAGAGGTCATTACAGACATATGCAGAGATCCAGCAGTTTCCTGAAGATGAAGCAAGGTGGACGGTCCAATCACTTTGCCATGCTAACTTCTCTTAGACAAAGAGTGAGGTGCAGAGACGTTAGGTGCAACTGGCCCCCAGCCATCCATCCAGGATTTAAATTCGGGTCCCAACCAGGGCGGTAGCCTTGCCATGGCACTACAGTGCTTACCAAGACGTGAAGCACCCCAGGCCCGAGTCCAAGGAGATCCCCAGGGGTCACAGTTACAGTCTTTCATTGGTATCTACGGGAGACTGGTTCCAGGGTCCCCCGCATTTACTAAATGTCAGCTGAGGATGATCGGGCCCTTTATATTAGATGGTGCAATACTGCTGACCCTCTGTATTTGTGAGTTCAGTATACACAGATAGAGGCTGACTGTATGCATAGATAGCATTAGTCATCACATCCAACTTCATTAATTTAAAAATTAGGAATCTGATTGATGTTTAATTTCATCTCTTGGTTAGAGATCCAGTTAAGTATCTGACAAACAGCACTCCATAATTTGATACAAATTTTATTGCTAAACCACTAGAAACATGTAACTAGTAGCAAACCACATGTACAATTTATAAGAACTAGAAACAACTAAATCATTAAAAACATTATACATTAAAATATTAAAGAACTGCATGGCAATTTCACTACAGCATCTAAATAAGAGCTTAGTTACGCTAACAGAGTGCACTGTGGGACAATTCCTAAAGCTACACAGAGTTAAGAGGTATTGCAGTTCCTTTCTGAAAAGTTTAGATCCTGAATAGTTACCAACTTTGGAAGAGAAGGCAGAAGGCCAATAGGCCTGTTGTGTGCCTTATTCACACTAGAGCCTCGCTTAACCTCATAAGACTGGGGGTCAGGTCAGCTGCAAGGAAGCAAAGAAGCTGCTTTGAGGGGTGGGAAGCAGAGGAATATGCTTATTCACATCAAAACAACTAAACACCTGGGAATCAGGAAGAGCTAGTTTCAAATTCACATTCCTCTACTTAATAACTGCATGACACTAGACTAACCCTGAGCCTCAGTTTCCTTATCAGTAACATATGGATATCACCATCTGTATCACTCTAAGAATTAAATGAGCTAGCATATGTAAGGTATACTGTACTGTGTCTGAACAAGCATTTAAAAAAAAAGGGGGGGGGATTCTAAAGGTCACCCAATCTAAATTCCTTGTTTTATATAGGGGTTAAAGTTCAGAAAGGCCTAGCTCCTTAAGACCCCAAAGCTACTATGAAGGGATGTCTTTTTTATCTCCAGCATACCCTGCAACCCTGCAGAAAGCAAATCCTGAGCCATAAAGGGCAGTGTAGGAGGACTACCAGCTGCTACTAAAAATCTTCCCCAGCTTTATGCTGGAAATCCATGCCTTTCACCACCAATCCCGGCTGAGGTCTGGTTATTGTTCCAAAAGTCTACCCTCTGACTCTGCTTTTGATGCACCAGATTAAACCAAACATGCCCCTTGATACTTTGTGATGGTCTTTAGCATAGTTTTTATTAGTTCTTTGCAGTTTGCAAGAAAAACACTTCAATCCCTATTTCGCATCAACAGTCACCTTAGTAGAATTCAAGCCACCAGTGGGGGTTTACCAGGTGGCTCAGTGGTAAAGAATCCACTTGTCAATGCAGGAGACATGGGTTCCATCCCTGGGTTGGGAATATCCACTGGAGAAGGAAATGGCAACCCACTCCAGTATTCTTGCCTGGGAAATCCCATGGACACAGGAGCTTGGCAGGCTATAGTCCATAGGGTCTCAAA